ATACAAGGATATCATGTATTATTCCTGAATAAAAATCTAGATTTATATTTTTGTAAATAAATGAACATAATTATTCCAGAAAGACATAATTGTATAAGGAGGAAATTAGATTGCTTTAGTTTCTATCGGACTGTTGATTATGTAATACATAATTTTGGTTTGACACATAAAATACGGGCAGTGATACAAGCGGAAATGTTTTAAATGGTCATTCCTTTTTTATACATAATATCTTAGTTGTCCTAGTTAAAGGTGTCATCGACACACCAATACCTTCACGATTATTTGCATTGCTTATCTTATTGACACATTCTAACGACTTATCGGCCGCCCAGTCTCAAACACCGTAGCTTATAGGTACTCTAACAAGCGCACTTATTGTCGCAGGTTAGAATACTAATATTATTATTACGTTGACTAATGTGCATTATCACAGTGACAGCCTCGATAGTGTATTTGCTCGTTCGACTGCAGAGCAAGATTCAAATCACCGAAGGAGGCGAAATATTATGACCACGTTAAGTTATCTTGGGTCCGCTCGGTGCCTCAGTGGTGGACCTGCCACCACCAGAATTATACAATGTAATCGCATCTGCACGACCTGAATTATTTTTTGAAGCATTGTAGCAACATTTCAAGGTATTAAGATCAAAGTTTTAACCCAACCCGACTATTCATAAATGATTATAATTAAGAATTAGTTCAATACTTACGTTAGTTGACACCGCCGCGTACGCATCAATTTCTGATCTAATTTATGTCTATGCTTACAACATTCCATTCCAAAGACATAATTGTTTGTTGCGAAGCCCGAAGTAATAAAATACTTTTTACTTAGCTTCAATGCCTTTACTACGAAGGGACGTCTGGAGGAGGACTTTTGAAAGTATTATGTAACCGCATTAATATCGAAATAGTAACTGAATTATTTATATCTACCAAGTAAATATTGACAGTTAAAATAAGCATAACATTTTGAATTAAAGTATAAAATGTACGATAAATATTATTGTCACTTCGCTGTGTAAATATTCACGTAAAGGTCAAATGGGTTTACATTCTGTCGCGAATGCATTTGTGCCTTTTTAAGTCCTAATAGACCTTTAGGTATATCTGTTTTGCCTAACACACCGTTAGGTGCATTAAGTGCGGGGGGAGGGGGCGTTGGTCCGTGAGCGCCGACGAAAGTGATCTGCGTTGTAGACCTCGTAATAAACAGAAATGTCACTTGTATTTTGGTATAGCAGGTATTTATACGTAAAAGTGCATTTACATCAGTTGAGTATTTGATTGTGTCGACTGTACACAAGATCGTGATTTTTTAACGATATCAACGTGTTAAGAATCTTTTTTATTACTCTCGACTCTAGCATATAATATGAATGAATGAAATTCTTGGAATTTAATAAAAGTATAGTCTCTTTCTGTCAAATTGTATTTAAGCTGTTGTTTTTAATGTACTGTAATTGTTGAAATTATACTTCTTTTAGCGCGTTATGGAAAAATGATGGGAGTCAATTTTGACGATTCGCGCGCACACCGTCATAAAAAACCGACACCCTGAATATCTGTTCAAATGTCTGTAAAACAGTCTGGGCCGCTAGTTGGCGCTTGCTTTGTTTTATCGACAAGTTGCATTGTCTGTCATGGCGTAGTGTTTTTCAGAGTCGTGTTTATTTAAACCAAAATTATGATTTTTATACGAGAAAACCCGTTTGAATGTGATAAAAAACATAGTGTTTATTGTAAAATATATTTATTAGTACATATTATATCCTTTTGATTGGAAGTGACCATTAAAATGGACAAGAAAAATGCAAATCAAAGTATAACTTCTAACGCGTGCACATTCACACTCGATTTTTAATTGCGCCTTCTCTATTCGTTTCGCACCTGCAAACCGATCAGATGTTGGTCAAACATACCGCAGACTGCACGCAGCAGGTTAACGCGTTCGATAAACGCCTTTCAACTAAAGCCTTATTAGCCACTACTAAATTACGGACAGTAACTTAAGCGATAACTTTTCCCAAAAGCCTATGCATTGTGCAATTGGTGTATTTAAGTGCCCGTGTCACGATAACACAATATATGTTGATGGAATTTAAAAGCCATGAGCACAGTAAAGTTACTGTTGCGTGTAAAGTGACTTGATCGCTTTTACAAAGTTATCAACGCGAGGTATTTCAAAAATTTGTTAAATTAAAGCTTTCTTTTAAATCTGAGCTTACATTTATTGCGAAAACGAACATTGTTGGACAACGTTTCTCGAGATAAACACACGCAATAACATTTTATTAGGTAACCTAAGGACTAATTTATGGAGAAGTTTCAGTATCGGATCAATTTAACAAAGTTATTTAAGCGATCGGCTCAAGATAATATTAGCATAAAATACGATTAAATTACCAGTTACGCCGTATATTATGATATATAATATACGCCGCGATAGTGTATTGTATAACCAGGGTCATTTAGGGTCCGAAATATGAATTCATTTAATGTTTTCTGGTGAAACGTTTGTCTTTACGCTTTGGGAGACAAAAACATTTCAATTAACATACTATTAAAACTTTTACTAAGAATCATTTAACGATATCATAGATGCTTGCTTGCCATCGACTGCATATTTATCGATCATATTCTCTGTACACCGGTGTATTTAAGCCTCAGAATCGGTTGATATTCTTAGGCATAAGGTGTCAGCTAAGAACGGACAACTGTATCGTGACAATGACAGGAATGCACGTAGAGTTCGGTGGCAGAGAGCGTGCAGTTGACGTTGTGCCGGGTCAAACATTCTAATGTATGACGCAATGCTTAGCGAACTGGATTTGCACTCGTCTTATTGACGCTCTATGTTAATCAACTCGTTTTGATAGTATAATACAGTTAACACCAAAATTACCTGCCTAATACTGGCTGAGACAGCGTGCGTAAAAGTACTTAGTAGTACGTTCTGCTTTATGCGCACTTCCGCATTTTTCTAGCAGCAAAGGTACTTTAAAAATATTTTTATCTGTGTATCAAGTCACGGGGAAACTATACGGTTAACAATAAAAATCACCAAGCAATCGATCGAAAATGTATCGTTACTAAATACGAAAGTTCAATGCTAGCATGACCTAGTTAGCTTTAAGATCCCGCACGGTTGTCGAGCTTTAGTACTTACTTATTTGGTCATACATAATTACAATATTGCTTTAAACATTTAAACAATTCTCCGTCTGGTACTTGATTACGCACTCTTTTTTATTCAGATTAGAGAAGAAATGTCATGAACATGTCAGGAAATTTCCTAGTTTGGGATTAGGATAGGATTCCTATTTTTTTTTCATGGAATCTCGCTGTTGGCCTTAAGGGCCTTTACAGCTCGGGCTGTTTTGGCGAGCGTATCTTGGCCTAAATGGGCGTTTATCCCGCGACTAGTGCAAGGGCGACTCCTGTGAGACTCGAGCCTCGGCTTGGGACGTCGCGGGGTGGTCGCGATTCCTAAATACTGTTATAAATATTTATTCGAGAAATAAATGGTAGTAAAACTGTTGACAAATCCGAACTTTAGTAAATTTAATAGTGAATTATAAAAACGTGATGAAAATTAATGGCTATATATGGATGGTGGCAACACAGAACTACTCCTCCTGTTCAGATCGTACAACATGGCTCTTCATAGCTTTCCATTTTCAGGAAATATAATTCAGAGAAAATCATACGCCAACAGCGCATTAATATTTTGTATGTAAAACCTAATTAAGTGATACAAATTAAAATGCGCTATGTAATTAAAGAATTGCTATCGATTTTTAAATAATTCGAATCTATAAATATGTAGCCGTAATAAGATGTTTGTCTAAAGGTGTAATTAAACGTAAATCGCACCTCATACTAACTTTTTTATCATTTAATAATACTAAAGTTCTTTAGAATAATATATGCTGAAATGTTAATTTATGAATTTCAATCGTGAGGCAGACGCTGCGCTTACGACACCACGGCGAGACAGCTTGGCGCGTCACTTTTTCGCCCAAACCTATTTTTTGTTAACAAACCGTCAGGTTCGTGTAGGCGGCTGCTCAGGCGGAAACTGTATACTTTCTTTTTTATGGCCTCTCAGAACGTAATAAATAAGATGAGTACTAGTCAGACATCTAATAAATTTATTTTTTAAAGTCGATCGTTCGTACATAATTTAAACAATACTCGAACAGAGTACTTATATTCAAATTTAAACCAGATTTATTGTTGTGTTTTTCGTAACGTGAAATAATAATTCTATGCAAATTAGCTTCGAATCAATAATAGCGAAATAAGTAAGGCAAAATGCGGACATAAGTTCGCATATTTAAAATGTCTATATGAATAAATAAAATATACAATATTTTCGGTGGTGACTCACATATAGTAAATTACGTAATAACTAATTCCAGTTTAATTTAATAACATAAGTGGTTATATGAGTCATAAGTATAGCAGAATTACGGATTATCTATTTATATGTCGGATCACCATCGATCATGGGGTTTAATAAAACTTATATTGTGAAATTTCAAGGTTAAACGTATTATATTGACTGGTTAGAAATTTAAATTATTACAATGTAATTAGTATGAAATTTTTACCATCTACATGAAGCTGCAAGGATCGAGCTTTAATAGTGTATTTTTTAATAGGCCTATTAAACTATTTGCTTTTGGCACGCACCTAGGTCTAGAGCGAACAAGTTCTACTATCATTAGCAAAACTATCAACTTTTGCAGGCATGTAACTAACCTTATACAAAATTGATGAAAGATAGAATACATTGTTGTGTTTTGTTTGTTAGAGATTATAGATAAGGCGAATAAAACGTCGGTCATTGGTGAGTTTGGAGTGTAATTGTGATAGTATAATGGTGCAGGCTGATCACCAACTTGTCAATTGCAGAAAAATAATCAAAAGCAAAACGCCACTATTCCAAGGGTTGCGAGAGATAATGCAGTTAATCACAGGGAAGTAATTTATTAATTAAAACTATTTCTTACATTTGATTCCCTTTGTCGCGAAAGGATCCCCGCTTTCAAGTGGTACTGTCTATACATATACTCTTTAGTCATTGCTTGAACTGAAAACATTGCCCGACTTCTTTGTAACACTTCAGTTTTTGGACCCCAAGTCGGATCCAACTGGAATAATTCACGTAATTGTTTGGTAATCGCAGCATATACAATCTTCCCTATAAACGTTAGTATCATTAGTCCTATTATTACCGAAACGGTATATGACCCATAAATTAATTGAGTGGTCAGTCTCAAATGGTGATCCAGCTCTCTACAGAATGAGTATCCCAATAATATACTTGACAGAATCCAAGCGGTTTTGATACAAAATTGCGGCTGTACTCCCAACATAAAGTGTACATCTTCTGAAAATCTTTGCACGCCGTACCAAGTCAAAAACACGATACATTCAAGCATAGCTATGAATATGGTAAAAGTTATTACATGCCTTCTAAAGCTGACAGTAAATATGTTTATCCCGAAGTAATTAAAAAATGGTATTGTTATTAGAAACAGCACCAAGTTGCCACAAAAACATGTTAGTCCTGGGTATTTCGCAATTTTGTCATTTCTTTTCGCCGCCACGTCCAATAAATTGTAGAATACCATTACATCAGTACACAACCCGAGCACTGTGTAACAGCTATATGTGGTAATTAAATAAAACGAATTTCTCTCATAATGATATAACATTCTTGGCACTTTTTCAAAGAGAAATGACATACGTATTTTCATTATTGTCTCTGGTTTGTCATCAAACACGAACGCATAGGGACACGTCATTAGAGCCGTTGTAAGGATGGTTAAAATTGTAAATAGTGTGCATATCACCACGCAAATAACACTGTTGGATAGGCAAGGAGTGCGGAAGGGAGAATTTGCTGAGAGATTCAATGTCACCCCAGAACCGATGCCTAAGTTGTAAACAACACGTTGAACTATGTTAGATATTCTAAACTTCTTCGAAAACTCATTGAAATCGAAGTCTAATGCTTCAGTGAATTTGAATACTATTCCCTTCTGAAGTAATGACCCAGTTAGTACCACCGAGTAAGCAGCTATTGGGTAGATGGCTAAAAAGTATGTCGCCCATTTCAAAGATCGTTCTCTCTTGAAACAACTGAGATATATTAAAATACAAATTACTCCCGAAGCCAAGCATATCTTCCAAGCTATCTGATGTTTCTCATTTAGTTTGACTAAGTTAAATCTCCAGTACTGATATTCGGGGTACGTCGAATAGAGACCTTCGCAATACGGTGCACCGTGCTGTTTTCCAATGCAATTTTTGTTCACAGTATAATTTCTATAGAAAATGTTACATTGCCTGTTGCTCCACGGCCCACATGTGTAAAATGGTACGGGGCTCTCGAAGCTGATTAATAAATAGTGCATAAGGAACGATGTGACTGTGTGATTGTAGAAAAGAATCAGGACTTGCCATACAATTAGAATATAACCAACATGTGAGGTACAACGGTTGATTTTCCAGACATCAATACAGTCGCGATTCGTAAACTGACTTATCACAGTTTCCATATACAAAAGTGGAATTCCAAGAAAAATGTAAGTCAACGTAAAGAATATGATACAACCCAAAATGCCTTCGGAAAATGACACATTTGGAATTGTAGAAATGTTAGTAATGCCTATACACTGGCAGAGTAAAATTAGGATATTCAATCTTCTATATTTCTGGGTATTTTCCATTTTTTTAGAATATCACTTTCAATAATTTTGACTATAAAACGATCGAAGCCAACTCGATCTATCGCACTCTCTATTAGTATTAAATACTCCTTTTGATACTCTTCATTTCGTAATAAAATAAGCATTATTAATATTCCTTTTTTAGTTAGTTTAAATTTTTACAAAGAGAAAAGCTTAGGATCACTGGATTTAAGGATATAAATTAACTATCTCGCCCGCTAATTAGACGAAACATACTTCGCTCAAAGCTCGCAATTCATTTCAACAGTGATCTTTAATAAATTAAAGAAAAGCCGCACGTAGAGCCTACGTCGGGCTTAAAAGTGTTACTATTTTTTGTATTACGAAAAATTATGGCTGAAACAGACGCAGAAATATGCCTTTCATCTTTTATTATGATCGGTAATAGGCAGTTACGAATCAAAGACGAAATGTTGGACGTTGACCGTTGAACGTCTCAAATATTAAATGACGAAATGTACATTTACTGCCAGATCTTAAGGAAAGGGTCGAGAAGAACAGGGAAGAAACTAGCCAGTATTTTAAATAATCGTAAATTCGAAGTACGAAATACGCATTTACAGGTGTCCGGTATATCTACAAAAATATGCATCTCGTATTTGCTTTAATATTTTTATCTGTCAATATTATCTAATCACTTTCTGCAACGTACCGATAAGTTAAAAATTTGTCAAGTATTTTGCAAACCTCGCCTTTATTTGCTAACCCATTTAAAATTAAATTTAATTATTTTTTTCGTTACTTTTATCAATTTTCTACCTATTGTTATCGTAAAGGTTTGAGTACCGTTTCGTCGCCATTATGAGATATATTAAAATGTAAACGAAATTACAAATAATAAAGAAAATTTAAAGAATGTAATCAATCATACTCAGTATGCGTTATTACTTACACTGTCTCACTTAATAATACAAGATCGCCGTCCATTCGGTTGTAGGTTTGAACCCTGCATTTTGGGAGTTTTAGCTGCATACCACTACTTCGTGGAAGTATTTTCGAACCAAATTGGATTTGGAAAATATCGGTATGTTAGTCACCAATTGCTTATTGGAAAAAACAAATGATTACGAAACAGATACACGCTCTGTGTCTGTTATTCATGAGACGAATCGGTAAAAACGGCGATAATTGGAAGATTTAGCTTTTATGAATAAGCACATACGCATGGAACAATACCATAGATTTCATCCGTAGATTAAAAAAATTCGTTTGCCCTTATTTTAACTGAGATTATGATATATAATTGAGCCGTTTTTGAAATATGAGCTGTAATATATAAATTACTATTTTTATGTAACAATTAGTACATTATGTACATGATGTCTGATTTTGTGAATGCATCGCTTATCAATTTATCGTTTACTCGAATTATATGTTTACTATTGATATGGCCACGCTTGTCACATAACTTGTATTTCACACTATACCTAATCTTTCGTAGAAATTCACTTTGCATTATCCATATTTGTTCCGTTCTATTTTTAAAAATCGTTGTGATAAAGTTGTTGATTATACACGAGCTAATAATACTATATTATTATATAAATGCATTCAATAGAACGCATCATTTTATACACATGCATAATTGTATGAAAAATCTTTGCCAGACATGGGAGAGTAGGTATTCTATTAGCTCAGTATTTCTAAAACGACTTTGTGTTACCAAAAACTATATCTTCACGAGACTTGTAAGAGTGATTTCATGCATCAATAGTCCTTAAAGCGTATTTTTTAATAAATGTTACCTACACTTATATTACAATGTTGTGAAGTTTAAAAAAAATACATGTTTGATTTGAAGAAAAGCGAACATGATACGTATTAGTACAGATATAATTTAATTTATAACTTTTAATTATTTCAAATAATATACAATAGACTAAAGATAATGTATTTTCTACAAGGTCTTTATGATATTTTTTTTGGGTTAGACAAATAGGTAATATTGTTAATACAAACTAATACTAAATGAATACTTATTCTTATATTAGCAACGGTTTCCTAACCTTTAAAAAAATGCGCAATGCGTTTTGCTTGATACCAGTTTAAGTAACATTGTCGATGTTACTTGCACGTTAGTTATCCCTAAACCCCCAACATATTTCTCATTGGACACATTTTAAACATCGAGGGCGGTTGAAACAGTCGCATCAGAGGCTTAGTCTAAAATCTTATCTTGAATATAACTGATTTAGATAGATTTAATTTAGCTGTGATCAATTTTGGAATGAGTTTTTATTTATTAACAATTATACATTTGGGAAAAAGTGACACACAAGGGCAGGGTGCCATAAAAGTATTTATGTACGAAAATGGTAAAAATGTAATAAATTTGTACTGTAAACTAATATTTGTGTCTCCTTATACGTAGCTTCCTTATCAAAGAGTATCATACGCAAATATACGGTGCAGACATCTATTGACATAGACTGATTAGGCAGAAATAACTTTAGAACCTATGTAATGTATAACTATGGGAATTAGCAAAATAATCTATATTATATTATGGAATTAACTCTTACTAAAATGTTTTTTTTAAGTTATACTTCTTTTGGCGCGTTAGGGAAAAATAATAGTATAACTACTAACGCGTGTACATAAGTACACACACATGTTTTTGAAGTTATAACTTCAGCTGACTTGCTGGGAGAGATTATGAGACTGTATATTTCGGACAATCATCACCGCTGCCGGAATCATAACCTTTTTCTGTGTCGACTCCCACTGTCCAGCGTCAACAAGCTCCCATTCCCCGCTTATTCTTGCAGCTTAATAGTTTTCTTGACTCTTCGCCGGAGAGCGACCTATTTGTGAGGCGTACGGGGGGGAGGGGGAGCGTAACAAAAGATTTTCTATAATTTCATGAAAATTACTAAATTGTGTAATAATTTCGTTAAAATTTGGGCATGTATAATCTGTAAATAAATAAATAAATATTTATTTTGCCCTACAGAAGTTAGGATGGGGTCGTATTCAGTGGGTGACCCCAGGGCCATACCGCCCTGGACCCTGGTACCCTGACTCCAGGTTATTCTAATTATTAATTCTATTAAAAATATTTCGTTGTACGGAAAATACAAACAGCTTTTTCATAAAACTTTGATCATGCGACCCATGATATAATTATATGGATTCACCCTATAAGTATTTTCCACTATAACATCATCATTAGCAAGATATGTTATATGCCTCCACTAATTAATGTTACAACTGTTGGCGTCGTAACGTCTCAAAAGATCGATGAATACCAAGAAACGTGAGAAATACGTCTTTAATTTTTATATTCATCAATGAGAATGATCGCTTAATAATAACTGCAAATTCTTCATTAACTTGTATTAAGTAACTGCTATTAATGAAACGGAGTAGCGAAAGCCAAAGAATAACGAAATCGTGACTAAACTCTTCGCTCGAGGAAAGTATACTTTGAGACGTGTTTATACAGTTTAATTTATGATAAACTCTATTATAGCTAGCATTTTGCTATCGATAATGCTGTCCCACTCTGGCGCTGGAGGCGTGATCCGCCATTTCAAATAGAATTGCACAGCGCAACCAAGTAAAGTATGTCTATCTCGGTCTATCATTTAACGACCCTTGACCTAATGGATCGATTTTTGTGAATGTGACCAGCTCGTTTTGTAAATCTATTAATTATGTGGGGTAGCGGAATCTTAATGGCCAGTACTGGCAAGACGCTGCCGACCATTGTTTGACATATCATTATTATCCGATGACGTCAACTTTATTTTAGGATATGTCTTTAACGATGGTATTGATGAATAACAGGGTATTATAGGCCGATAAAATATCTAAATTTTATATACCGTTAGTGTTTAATAACCTCTACTTTCGCTAATTACAAAAATAAATTACCATTTTTTTAACTTGAATACTAAAATAAATTGGAATAAATTTATTTGCACTTATCTATGTAGAGCAGTGTTAGCCTAGAGGCTTCAGTGTGCGACTCTCATAACTGCGGTCGTAGGTTCTATCCCCGGCTGTGTACCAATGGACTTTCTTTCTATGTAATAATATCATTCAAGTATTTAACATTTGCTCGAACGGTGAAGGAAAACATCGTAAGGAAACCGACATCTCTTAGACCCAAAAAGTCGACGGCGTGTGTCAGGCACTGGAGGCTGATCACCTACTTGCCTATTAGATTAAAAATGATCATGAAACAGATTCAGAAATCTGAGGCCAAGACCTAAAGAGGTTGTAGCGCCACGGATTTATTTTTATTTTATCTATATACAAATCATATCTTTAAAACTTCAACACGTACTCAAAATCCGCTTACATCACTTATATCCATTTTAAATAAAGAAATTACAAGAAATACAGACATACATTCTAGGTATTTAAAAAGCCTATAAACCCATTTGAATTCCATATCGAAGTTTTAGTACAAATTCAAACTATAAGTACTTAGTCGACTTTTACGCGCTATAACAATGACATACGATGATTGTGTATCGTCGAAACTGAGCGTTTAAATATATTGCTTTTTATAAATTCATGCGGAGGCAATGTGTATGTTTGAACGACCAATAAAATCATAACATGTATCTTAAGTTTAACACTATTTTCGCGGGTGCTAAGAAACGAGGTATGTAAAGGATTTTTAATCTGTTTTTATTTTTAATTTTAAAAAGTGAAATTGAAATAGACTGTACCATGGTAAATAATGAAATTGTTATATCCAGAAATTATTGACCCGATTTTAAAGAAACCCACACTTATGTTATGCAACTTGGAATATACCTGCTTTCTTCTCAATCTTCTCAGTCATATTGGTCAAC